ACGTATATGTGGGGCGGAGCTATCAAAATAGGGGCAAGACCCTTTTGGGGTAGGGGCGTGTTTGTTTTGGTGATTTCAAATATCAACATTGGTTACCAGAAATCACTTACTCTGCCTTTAAGTGGTTTAATATGAGGAATATTCCACATACATGTCGCCACATGGATTTCTGTTGAGAAACCTTCCTTTTGATGGTAGATAAAAATCTTGAGTAGATAAAGTAGTTAGATGATGTTTTCTTTATAGATGGTTTGTATGTCTTTGATTTGAATCGATCACATCAATGACATATTGAATACATCAGTTCAACTTTAAACAGTTGCTTATACAGCCACCAAGTAAATAAATACTCACCAAAACCCATTTTAATTACATTTGGCACTTTTTACTTTAATTTTGAACTTTTTGTTTCAGGGCTGAGAGAATCCCACTTCTGTGGGGCCGATGAAGCCAGTCATGGCTCTCAGGAGAAGACCGGGGACCAGAGCCATTGTTTCAGAGCTCAACCCGTCAGCCTCTAGCACTGGGCCTGTTGGAAGTGAAAAGCTCTCTGGAGATGGAGTTGATCCAGTTCCTGAGGAATTTGGACAAGAAAAGCTGGACATCCAACCACCCTCTCCTGTGCCAGCTAGGTACTGTTTAAGTGACGGGTCTGGGGATGACTCCATCCAAGGCGAAAGCCCTCTTCAGCAGGACAGCATGGAGGAGGACTCACTGTCCGAGTATGATAATGTCGTATCCGTGGAAGAAGAAGAAGAAGAGCAACATGATTACGAGGAAGATGAGGAACTGCAAACCGAAGCGGACAGGATGACATACTATGTCCACTGTTGTCCTGAAGATGAAAGCTACATGGAAGGAATGGACTGCCATGAAGGTGCGGACGGTGCTGAGTGTCCTGGCACGTCTCGCGACGTCCGGGAGAGCTGTAAACCGGAGGAAGCTTGGGAACACTCGGAAGGCTTTTACAAGGTTCTGCAGCAAGACGCAACAACAACGGTCTACAAGCGACCAGAGCCTATCACGGAGACAAACTTCGTACAAGCCCCCATGGCTGAGGACGAGGAGGATGAAGAAGAGACAGAGGAAGAAGCAGAAGAAGAGGACAGTGAAGAAGAAGACAATGTTGGGTTTTTTCACTACAAAGGGAAAGAAGTGGAGTTGAACAACAATGAGATCCCAAGTAAAGGTGCTGACGACTTCAATGTTGGGTTTTTTCACTACAAAGGGAAAGAAGCGGAGTTGAACAACAATGAGATCCCAAGTAAAGGTGCTGACGACTTTCCCAGAGATGGCAGAAGTTGTCCTCAAGAGTCCAGTTGTGCTAAAGTGGGGCAAGAAAGTGATGCAGTTAGTAACTATAGAAGAAATCAGGACATCCCCAAAAACCCAAGGAATGTCCCTCAAGGGTCAAGTTGTCCTCCTAGGGATCGAATAGAAAGGGTTCGAGAAGAGTGTGCTAGTGACTGTCCAAAAGATTGTGATGTCCTTGTGGTCAGAGAAAGTAGGGGAAACCCTAGACAAAGTTTTAGATATAGAGGACATCAGTCGGAGAGAGTACACAAAAGAGACACCGCTTACCAGGATGGTAGCAGGGTCAGCAATAAAGCTAAATCCGCAAATCCAGAGGACAGAGGCATTTGGAAAAAAAGACATTTGCTAAAATACTCCAGAGAGGACGACAGGGATGGAGATGGGAAACTTTCACACGAGCAAAGTAAAAGTCCTGGAGACAGCAAAAACAGAGGGCAGGACCATCCCGTTTGTAGTCACAAACCAAAGGGTGAAAAAGAGAGAGAGAGCATTGGGGATGTTGAGGAAGAGCAGATTGAGAACGAAGTCAAGACCAAACTCAAAATTGCTCCAAACAACTCAGGGAGTAATAAAGGTTCTCCTGATCAGACAAAGAATGGGAAAGGGACTCCTGACAATTCCAGGGCCTCTTCAACATCATCAGACAGAAGAAACAGCCAATCCAGAGCCCATGTTAATACACCTGTGCAGTCCCCAGACAAACGGCTACATAAAGACTTGGCCAAACCTGTTGAAACGGGGAAGACAAGGCCTAGTCAGGAACAGGTAACTGTGCAGAATTCTTTACTAACTGTCAAGAAGTCTTTGATTCCGCAAAGATTGGATCCATATGAATGGATCCTTGTTACTGTGGTAGCATTTATTCTAGATTGAGCCATATTTCAACACAAAAATAGGGAGTGATCGCTTTGCATGTCGATCAAACAGCCTGTTCTTGTCTTATTTGGAGGTTCCTGACAACATTGTGCCAGACTTCTACCATGGTCTGGCTCCTTCTAGAGACAAGCATCAGACAAGCATCTCCAATGAGGTTTGAAGATTTCTATCCATTCTTCAAACTGCTTGTCCTCTGTATGGTCGCAGGGATGCTGGCGCCTATTGGGCCACATGCGAGGGAAACACCCTGAACAGGTGGCCAGTCAGATTTGAAGATTTATCCTAAATAGTAGACTAGATGAGTGTTAAACCTCCGGACAGTGGACAACACAAAAAAAGGGAGTGATCGCTTTGCATGTCGATCAAACAGCCTGTTCTTGTCTTATTTGGAGGCTCCTGACAACATTGTGCCAGACTTCTACCATGGTCTGGCTCCTTCTAGAGACAAGCATCAGACAAGCATCTCCAATGAGGTTTGAAGATTTCTATCCATTCTTCAAACTGCTTGTCCTCTGTATGGTCGCAGGGATGCTGGAGCCTATTGGGCTACATGCGAGGGAAACACCCTGAACAGGTGGCCAGTCAGATTTGAAGATTTATCCTAAATAGTAGACTAGATGAGTGTTAAACCTCCGAACAGTGGATCAATATAGTGGAAAAGTGGTTATTGGGAAAACAACACAACATTGCTTTTTTTATACAAACCCTTAGCCATTTGTTTCTAAATATTGAAGCTAATTATGCTAATGCTAATTGTACTAATTTAGAATCAGGATCAGAATCAGAATGAGCTTTATTGCCAGGTATGTTTACACATACGATTAAAGTGTTAGCTAATGGTTGTATACAGGGGCACAAAGTTTGTAATACATTCCCTAATTAAAGCTGCAAGCAGCGATGAAAGGGCCCTCGCACCCGGGCTCACCGCCATGCTCTCTGACCCTCCCATAGACAGCAATGTAATTACCACGATCAAGGTACAGAAACGTAGCAAGGAGATCGGTAAAATAATACCGATCTCCTTGCTACATTTCTGGACCTTGATCGTGGTAATTGCATTGCTATCTATGGGAGGGTCAGAGAGCTCTCAGAATTCATTAAAAATATCTTAATTTGTGTTCTGAAGATGAACGGAGGTCTTACGGGGTTAGAACGACATGAGGGTGAATAATTAATGACAGAATTTTTATTTTTGGGTGAACTATCCCTTTAAGTTAGTGTGAAACAAGTCACTTCCTGTTGCCAGTAGGTGGGGCTATGACTATAATCGAATATGATCATGTAGATGTCTTCAGGCCAGGACTCTTATCAAACACGTGAAGTTTGAGACAGATTGGACATTGTATGCATGAGTTACAACAACTTCCTGTTTGATGGCATTAATAGCATGCTTTAGCAAATTAGCTAAGTGTTGCTAGCATGTTTCTAGCATGTTGCTAGCCTATTTAACACTACGTGATTTTGACGTGACGTCTTTGTTTCCGTAGCGACGGAGTCTCCAGAACGTGCGCCGTTAAAGCCCTTTCACACGAGCGCAGCATGCAGTAAACAAACCTGTGCGGTTTAAAACATAGGAGCTCACATCTGCCCTTTGAACACAAGACTCTCCAGATGTAGGGCTGAATGGGACAAAAATGAAAATTTTGTCGTCGTTTACACACCCACAAGTTGTTCCAAACCTGTAATAATTTCTTTCTTCTGTTGAACATTAAAGAAGATACTTTAAATAATGTGGTTAACCAAACAGTTTCTGGTTCCCAATGACTCATTCTTCAAAGTATCTTCTTTTGTGTTCAACAGAAGAAATAACTTTATGCAGGTTTAGAACAACCTGGGTAAATTATGACTAATTTCATTTTTGTGTGAACCATGCCTTTAAAGTGATAGGCACATCCGTGCTTCTAAATGTATAGGCCTATTGTTTTATAAAAATTGGGATAGTCTGTTAATATAATATTCCATACATTATCAGAGCTTGGTAGACATAATTATTATATTTTTAGACATGATTAAACAGATAAATTAATATATTATAATTAATGTTAGGCCCTATTTATTAATTTATCATTGATATTAATCATAAATATATACATAATAAATAATCATATATGTCATAAACAATTTGGCATGTGAATGGGAGTCCCTTATTTTGCCTCGCTGACGGTGGCAACCCTACTAACCATGACACTTCCTGTTGCCAGCAGGTGTCGCTATGAGTATAACTGAATATGGGCATGGACATGTGTTCAGGACAGAACTCTT